GTGGGAAGCGTCCTCCTTTATTTTTGTTTTTGTTTTATTTTGATCGGTTTCCGAGGGCTCTTTTCTCGAACGGTCGGTGCGGTACCTGTAATTTTCTTTTTATCGTTTTGTTTTCTTTTTCTAAGTGGTTTGTACCCTTTTTTTGCTTGTTTCCCCACGGCGTCGTCTGTGCCGGGTTTTGAGACCACGGGCTCCCCATTTTTTGTGGACTATAGAGCTAATGTGAGAAACAACAACAACAACAACAATCTCGGCAACCAACGGCATTTATTTAGTAATTTTTTATTTTTCTCATTTTCTGTTCTGCGCCCGATCTTCGTTCCTTTGTGTTCCTCAAAACGCACGGTCTGCACCACCATGTCCACCCCAGCGTGGTAGTCACAGAAGAGGATGAGATATCTACGATAGATACCACACTGTAGTGTTTGCCAGCTTGGGCTCAAGTGGCCACTACAGTACTACGCTTGAGGGTTCACATGTATGTTCAAAAACATTTAGACTACCTACGGCAGTGCCTCGACTGACTGAGAACCTACAGAAAAACAAGCAATTGCACGAGCAGGTCATCCCACAGCAGTTCCGAGGTGATAAAGAACTACTTCACAAGTCCAACAATAATGAACGAATTCACAAACGAGGTGCATCATGATGGCAAGAAAAAGCCAAACGGGCTCGCTGCCCAAAACAGTGTCGCAGGGTGGTGGGTGCGTGTCAAGAACACGCAAGAAAAAGGCAGGGGGGCGGGGTAGTAAGCAACACGTTGACAGTGTCCGACTGGAGGCGTGAGTTTATCGCTCAACCAAGGGGCGGCGACATTCTCGGCAAATGCGGCGATTACCCAGGCTATACACAAACGCTTCGCCTGAGACTACTTATCGAACGTATGAATGTTCGGCCGGGCGAGGACCGCTGACGGTTCAGACGACCAGACTGAATCATGCCGAGGTAGGACAAGTTGCACCCCCCGTGTATGCAGAGAGATGGCCGTCAAGAAGACCCCAGCGACAACAAGGAGGGAGCTCCACAGAACGGCAGCGATGGGCGCGCGCCTGGGGGGGGACCAGAGCGCTTGGGACGAGGATGCAGATTTGAGGCAGGAGAAGAGGGAGAAGGGAGGGACTGAAGATGACCGTTCCAGTGACGAAGACGACGAACAAGGTAGATTTGATCATCCCAGAAATCCCTTACATGGTCGTTGTTACTTCCATGAATTTGGTCGCACTGGCGAACCTCTGTGAACTTATGGGGCCCGCAAAAAATTAAGGGAAAATTGGTTAAGAAATAAGTACTTTTAGTCTACAGGCTCGGAATGGGGGGCTGTCGCCATAACAATTAGGATCAAAACACACACACAATCAATTGGCATCTCTGCGACAACGATAGTAATGAGGGTAGCTTTTGGGAGTGACGGAGACGAGGGAAAGGGAAAGGGAAGAACGGAGGACGAAGACGACGATAGAGGAGGAAGACATGGAGCAGTGGAAGAGAGCAAAGGGTTGAGCCAGATGACCTTCCTCAAAACAAAAAACACAGGGCTAGGAAGAACTGCCAAGAGTTTGTTGTCAAAATGAGGATCAGAATGATGTTATTGACAACAAGGAGGATTATGGTGAAAGTACTCCTAAACGAACTCGAGAACAAGGTAGTGGCCTTGGTAGACGCGTGCAGTTTTCTTCTGTTGCTGCTGTTTCTGTCTTTGATCCGAAGGATAGGTTAGCCCCCCCCATGCCGCCGCCTCACGCCCCCCCCCCCTCCTCCGGTGTTTGCCATTGGGGTTGGGTTTTCGTCGCTTGGCAACGACGTTGTATAACAAGCCGCCCCCCTGGTGTTTGCAATCGGGATCGTCGCTTGGCAACGACGTTGTATAACAAGCCGCCCCCCTGGTGTTTGCAATCGGGATCGTCGCTTGGCAACGACGTTGTATAACAAGCCGCCCCCCTGGTGTTTGCAATCGGGATCGTCGCTTGGCAACGACGTTGTATAACAAGCCGCCCCCCTGGTGTTTGCAATCGGGATCGTCGCTTGGCAACGACGTTGTATAACAAGCCGCCCCCCTGGTGTTTGCAATCGGGATCGTCGCTTGGCAACGACGTTGTAAAATAAGCCAATTCACTTCGCGAACTCGGCAACCAGGTTACCGTTTTTGTTTTTTGCCTCTGTTTTATTTGGCGGTAACCATAATGTTGGTCGAGCAGATCATGTTGTGCGGGGTCGAGAACCCCCACTCCGCGCAAGGGGGGTGATCGCACCACGTTGTGTTAAAATGGTCAAGCACCCTCGAGGCAGTTACACAGTGCTTACAACTGTCTCTGGAAGTGAAAGCACCAGAAAATAAATTAAGTCATACGCAGCTGTCATCCGTACGCAAGGAAGTAAGCACAAGATGCCGAACACCCTTAGCAGGATGCAGCGCACCCTTCATGCGACTCGCCGAACACCTCACGGCGCTTTGCGCTTGGTGATGTGAGAGCCTGGTCCGGTGAGACCCCGGCGTGCTCCGTCCCGGCTTTGTAGGGATGCGAGGTCAAATGTCTAACGACCACGGCATGCACGACCATGAGTACACGCCCCCCGCCCCCCGGCGTTTGCCATCGGGGTTGGGTTTTCGTCGCTTGGCAACGACGTCGTATCACAAGCCAATTCACTTCGTGAGCTCGGCAACCAGGTCACCGTTGTTGTTTTGTTCCTCTGTTCTGCTTTGGCGGTGACCATAACGGTGGTCGAGTGGATCATGTTGTGCGGGGTGGAGAAGCCTCACTCCGTGCAAGGGGGAAGACCGCACCACGTTCTGTCAAATGGTCAAGCACCCTCGACGCAGTTACACAGTGCCTTTAACTGTCTCTGGAAGTGAAAGCACCAGACAAGTACTCAAGTCATACGCAGCTGTCATCCGTACGCAAGGAAGTAAGCACAAGATGCCGAAAACCCTTAGCAGGATGCAGCGCACCCTTCATGCGACTCGCCGAATATCTCACGGCGCTTCGCGCTTGGTGATGTGAGAGCCTGGTCCGGTGAGAACCCGGCGTGCTCCGTCCCGGCTTTGTAGGGATGCGAGGTCAATGGTCTAACGACTACGGCATGCACGACTATGAGTACACCCCCCCCTTACCCCCCCATGCTGCCTCCTCACGGGGTCCCACTTCATGGCAGATAGAAGTGTTTTGTGTTTTCAACCGCACTAACACTGACGTCTTTTCATTGGTCAGCCGGTTAGCGCGGTCGATGCTATCAATAAAGACACACACAGGTTCCGGTTTGCACGAAAGCAAAAAAGGAGGAGATGCATGTGAAGAACCGACCTCAGCGGTGGATCCCATAGTACTCTATTTGCTACTAGACCACGGCTTGTGCTCGACGGCGGTGGCGAAAATATATCAAATCGATGCTCGACCCCAAATCGACGTTTCTTAGCTGCGGCCGCGTCTGTTGTTTACGGCAGTGACAAATCTTGGCTTGTTTCCGGGTGCTTCTCTATGCATGCTGGTCTCACGGCCAGGGCGACAATGAGCTGGACCGTCAGACGAACATCACAGGAAAGACGCGGACACCCGGATATCCACTTTGCGGTTTTCGCGTTGAAGCGTCTATGTACACTCCCGCTGATATTGGCTGTCATGTGCTACAGCATTGGAGTATTCGTTAGGCTGGGCATGGAGGTTGGTTTGGTGGACTTCCCACTGGCAGTCTCAGCAGCGTACCCGCCACCTGGATTTCCATGTCCCGCTCGGGCAAATACGACAGTAGCACCGGCAGCATGAAGATGCCGTAGGGAGTACCCTAGCGGCCCTAATGCGGGAGTGAGAATATGGGTTCAGTTGGGTCCCACACGGCCGAGCAGGTGGATGACGCACCCATCAGATCTGGCTGTAGATACACCAATCGGGGAGAAGAAGTGGATTGGGGACGGCAATACCGCCCAGCATATTTGCTTGTGGATCAAGGAGTGATACCGTGCGCTCTGCTCGTTCAGCCCTGCAATTGATGCACACCACTGTACCGAAGATTCGTCGCGCAAGCTTGGGTTCGCGCAAGCTGGAGATCGTAGAAGTATTGTCAATCGAGATTCATTCAGGGTTGATTGATGGCTTTTCGTGCGAACGTATGCGGCGAGAAAAACTTTGAGCACGTGGTTTCTCCTTGTGAGGTATCGACATGACTCACAGAAACCCGGTGTAGAGTACATGATGACCGTGTTGTCCATATCGGCGCCATCGTCGTAGGATAGGCACAAGAAATCGGGCAATTTCAGCTGGACGTGCCCGGCTGGAAAGTTCGAACTAGATGAGTATATACGCGCTCGATTTGGGGTAGGTAATGGCTTGCTGCGAGCCTCGAGCAATATTTGGAATCATATCGTGCTGGTAATACTCTGTAAGTCTCTCCCGATGGGTTATTCGATGACCGTGCGCTCTTCCCTTATTCTCTCTCCACAACACAGCCGAAGCCATGGCTGGGATTGGCCTCGTCGTAGCACTTTGCTGTGAAAGGTACCAGATCCCTGCCCTTTTGTTACCTCCTTATTTATGGTGAGTGTTCGTCGCCTCGAAGTTAAGACATGGTATACAAC